TTAGTGGATATCTATAATGATGAGGAGATACCCCCTGACAATGTAAAGCGCTTTGAGTGCCTAGAAAAGCGCTATATAAATGTAATGAATTAATTATAATGTGGTGAACTAATTTTATATTTTACACTCCATGCATCCACTAAAAATCAGCAACAATCATGTCCAAATACAGAACATAAAATCAAGGCATTTGAAGATGGATAGGTCAGTAAAGAATCACTCCGAGAACATAACCACTGATGCAGCAGGACTTCACACAGTACAGCTCAACACTGCCCTCTATTGCTGGCAAGAGACTGAAAAATATTAAGAATCAGACTAAATGATTCAACCACAGTAGAATGCCAAGAAATCACCAGTAATCCATATAAAAAAAAAAAAAAAGCGGTTGGATTAGGACTGGGTGAGCAGACTGACATCGAGAGGAACAGGTTTTAGCTTGTCCGAGCCCTGCAGCTGGTCTGATGACAGGGATTATTCCCAACTGAACCTCATTCCAAAGTAGTGACATCCACTAACCTGCAGCCCCTCCAGACAGCCTTCCTGATGACTAAGGAGATGTAATCGGGACAAGCTGTCACTAAACAATGTGTGTGCAGGTGGAAATGACATGGAAATTACACTAATATTAATGACTAATAGTATTAATTTAATAGACTAATTTATATAGTGGTCTGAGGGATACATTCTTGGAAAGACAGAAAATGAACCGCTCCAGATGTCCAGTGGGATGCTTTTCTGGTACATTTTATGCTAGGTGGATTTTAAATCTTTTCAACAAGAGCTCTCACCTGACCTTTGATTGCATAATCTGAGAATATAACTAGGCCTACAGTCTAACATGTTAGCGTGACACACGTGCTATGACCCCGGCCTGCCCAGATGTGTAGTTCTGACCCATTACATGCTCAAGTTCAGAGAACAGAACGGTCAGCTGTGATCCTAACGTCTCTTCGGACCCCAACACACTCTTTCATTGATGCATCTGCACTACGGCCCAGGAACAGAGGTTGGGTAATACAGAGACATCAGAGCAGGTGGGCGCATGATGAACATTGAAACACGTCCCAGACGAAAAAGCACAGTGGAACACAGGAAATATGTTTGTGGGTTGATTCCCAGAAAAACAAAACCATGTGAGTTGTGCAAAATTTTAGATGTGGATATTGCTTAATACAAGCAAGTCATGTCTGAACACAAAGCAAGTGATTATGAACTGTACGGTCTGTGTCAGCAATGCTATTAGATATTAGCTCACCTATTAAATTAGCAAAATGGAGCATTAAGGATTGAAACGTAATTGAATAATGCGATTTGGTCAATACAAAGTTAATTCTGAAATTCATACAAAATATCAGAGCCCAAAACCTTTCATTAGTACTGGGGCACATGTCTCCTGATAAAAATGTGTCCCCATATTTTAATACTCTTTTGTGATCGGTCAGGCATATTTAATTTAAGACACCTGCCAATTGCTGTAATGTGTGACAAGAATAAAAATGAAAATCTTGTAATAACTCATTGTCTAATTTCAGATGATCCCACCATGCACCTGAGTCAACTAACACTGGTTTAGTTGGAACAGAATAACAGACATCATCCCTTAAGAGAGTACAACCTTGAATCTGCTGGCAGGATACAGGGGAACAGTGATGCTGTGGAAAATAGCTATAATTGTTGTGACCGGATAGTCAAAGCTTATAATGAAGCCAATTAGTCTGTAAATGAATGACCAGGGCTCAGGAGACCATATGTGTGCTGGCTGGAAGAGTGAGAACTGGAAACATTGTTAATCAGCCACAGAATAAAAATAACTTTAGTATGGCTAAGAAAAAAAGACAATGATATAGGTTTTAAAATGTAAATGAAAAAATCTAAGTGTAAATAATAACAATATATAAAAATAAGAGAACTTTAAAAGGACAGAAATACTAAGAACGTTTAAAAATGGCAAAAGAACCAAACAAAGAACGTTAGAAATGAGTTATAAACATTATGTTAACACACTCCGAGATAAACTGTTCCATCCTTTATTAAACATAGCTTGCAAGTGATAAATATTACAAAGTTATTTCCTCCAAAATTTGCTTTTTTTTTTCAGTCAATGCATAATTGTTGTTAATCAACCGGCAGTAATTAAACAGCATTTTTTTCCCCATCTCCATTTTAGACAGTTAAATATCAAGGATGTGCAAAAGGTCTGGATTAATGTTCTAAATGAAAATAAAAACTTGGCAAAAAGCACTTATTTTCCTTGACTAAAATCAATAATTGTTTAAGCCAATCTCCAGTACTTTTTTACTGTACACATTTGAATTATTCATAGTCTTTTACAAACAGATTTCAACATATTGCCATTTGCTTTCAAATTCAAACTAGGTAAATTGCAGCTAAGTCTATTTAAAAATATTTGAAAGTTCAGATGAAATTTAGAAAATCAAAAAGAAATGACCCAAAACCCTCTCTCCCACTTCAAAAAACAACAACAAAAAGACTTGTACTTGCAACAAATTAAAATCAGGGAGAGGAAAAAAAATAGAGAAATAAAAAGAAAAGAAAAAAAAAATTGAAGAGAGAAGTAAACCCCAGCGCTAGAACTCCAGAAAAGCTGATTGTCCAGTCAGAGAATTATGGACAGTGATTCCATGACATGAAACTTGAAAAAGCATGTCTAATAATGTCACAAACCTTAGAATCAAAACTTGCATGTGTGCAAATTGTCTATTTTTTTGTCATGATTTAAAGGCTGAAGGCAATAAGCATTGGAACAGTCAAAAACAAACAAAAACGTGTTTTTTCTTCATCGTATACAATGTATACAATCTTCCATGAAAAAAAAATAAGAGCATTGTGATTTTTTTTCCCAAGAGCAAAAAAAAGGGATATACTGAGGAAAGTTTGCACTTTAAGCAACAGAAAACAAATGTACACAATCTCCCCTGTAGGGTTTTCTGCACCCAGTAATTTATCTAAAAGTAATGTTATTGAGCAATAGCGTGCTTTGATTTTACATTTATGATGATCACTTTGGATTTGGTCGAGTGAGGGGTAATACTGTCAAATGTTTCATCCAGTCCATGTTCTGTAAGACCAACACTTTGTGTGGGACATTAGAGAAAGAAACGTATTCACTAAACATCTACGTAACTTCAATGTTTGAAATCAACAAAAGAAAGTAACATACGAGACTGTCCCATCATGTCTCAGTCCAAAGACTACAGAATGGATCAAACGCTCCACCAGAACAATGAACTTTTTTTCTTCTGCAAATACTACATACTACAAAAACGTACAGCCGGGGAGAAAATGCCTCTAAAGAGCTCATTCAAAAACAAGAGAAGTATAATCCCATACATTTTGCACATTTGTTACACAATAATACACAGTGATCACAAAACGAAATGACAAGCTTCACAATATTCATGGCTTTTTGTTTGCTTTTCTACACAATATACAACCATTTTAATTTCATTTCATTATTTTTAATTCAAGGGAGAGAAAAAAGCTTATGTACAATACGTCATTATTACTTCTGACCTAGCAAATATCGTGTCATCATCTGTTCATACTTTTTTTTTGTTTGATTAAATTAGATTTTTTCTCCTTTTTTCTTTTTTTTTTTAAGAAACCGCTGAAATTAAACAACCAAACAAAAATGGAACTTAATTGAGGAGTCAAAAGGAAGTTAAACTTCAAAATCCAACTTTCTTGTAAATATATGAACACAGGTATATGGATGCATCTAATATAGTCTACAAGAGAGAGCAGGAGAGAGAAATGAGTTACTATAAACACCCTACGTTCATTTCAAAAGAACAACAAAAACATTACAGATCATAAAATTGGAGCAAAGATAAAATCATCCCCTTAATATCAAAGACTGAACAGAATGACTAAAAGGGACTGCTTTATCATCATTACCAGGAAAAAAAAAAAAAAACAACATGTAAACATCGTATTATCTAATATTGCACCTAAAAATTTCATCCAAGGTATCTTCAACATTTTTTTGTTCAAAAGTTGCATCGTTCCACCACAAATCAGTGGCATTATACAGGACAGTAAAAAATAAAAAATTCAAACTGCAAGGATCAGTGACTACACACATGACAGAAAAATGCATGTGTATGGATTTATTTCCATTAATTCACCATCAAACACATAATAGCTTTGAGTTTTCTCAGCTATTAAACATGACCTGCATGACAGACCTCAAAGTCTGATTTCCAAAAGAACCATACGTGTCATAGTAAATGCTTAGGCTGGAGGGAAAAATGTTAAGTGCTCAACTTCTTGTCAACAAGCAGATGTTAAACGCTTTGAAAGCCATTTGTGATCCACGTAACTGAAACATGGAGCACTACCTCACTAACAGAGAACTAAATCTGACCAAAAGATTATCGTGAGTCCAACCAGAATGCAAAATCCATCCTGCACAAAATCCCTAATACTGCATATTGACCAAACACTGCTTATATTGTTGCCATCATTCAAACGCCTCCAGGTTATGTCTACATGCACCATAACATAAAAAGCATTAATTCACTGTGGGTTTGAAAAAGCCGGACGCATTCGAAAAGATGAAATGCATCGCACAAAGCACAAAAAGTCTTTCTCCCAACTCTCTCCGAGACATCCGATGGCATCCATACCTTAAGATCCTGTGCGCCGAAACATTCTTGTCCTCTTTTGTTTAACCATTTTTTTTTCAGTTATTAAGAAGAAAAGTGCTCCTCCATAACGAGGCATCTCATGTGCATTGCTTTAACACTATGATTGATCCTTGTCAATGCCTTCTGTTAAAACTCACGTTATGGAGGAGCACTTTTCTTCTTAATAACTGAAAAAAAATGGTTAAACAAAAGAGGACAAGAATGTTTCGGCGCACAGGATCTTAAGCTATGGATGCCATCGGATGTCTCGGAGAGAGTTGGGAGAAAGACTTTTTGTGCTTTGTGCGATGCATTTCATCTTTTCGAATGCGTCCGGCTTTTCTCCGAGACATCCGATGGCATCCATAGCTTAAGATCCTGTGCGCCGAAACATTCTTGTCCTCTTTTGTTTAACCATTTTTTTTCAGTTATTAAGAAGAAAAGTGCTCCTCCATAACGAGGCATCTCATGTGCATTGCTTTAACACTATGATTGATCCTTGTCAATGCCTTCTGTTAAAACTCACGTTAACAATCTACGCATAAACCACTTTTCCAACAATTCCACCTATTTGCCATTTCAATGATTATCGTCTCCCTTGGCAGGTACCTTTAAGATACGTGGCCATTTCAGATGGAGACGCCGCACGATTAAAATAAAAAGAACAAAACCGTAAAGACAGGGAAGGGGTGGGGGGGTTAAAGAAATGATCAAAAAACACCCAAGCAGAAACAAAAATCAAAAAGGAGACAAAGTTCATGATGATGGAACTCTCTGGCTTCATTCTTTGCTGTGCAGTGAAACGCACCGTCACCACAAAAGAAGTTGTATGAAATCACTGCATCCTGTGAATGTGAAGGCATTGAGAGACATGGGAGAGATCCTGTTCATGGGCGCATACGCACAAGTAAAGAGCCTCCAATTTGACAGTTTCTTTCTGTACATTCGACAGCAGGAGACTCATCCGTGCTAGTGCAGGTCCTATTTTCAGCTGTTAACGTATCTGTGTGGCCTTCTCAAGGCAGAACCAACGTTGACTAGATGAGCAGCGCTCTGCATAAGGATCAATCTGATCAACGTACACGAGTCTGTCTCGCTCTTTCTGAACCAGAAGGTTCTTGGAGGACTTTGTAGTTTCCGAATGTGTAACGCTACAAAGATTCTGCTCTCTCGATCTCAGGTAAGAACGCTTTAACCATTCCAACTCCGAAACTGAACATATACGACATGAGAGAGAATGAGTCTAATTTTACAGGGGTGACTGAGGGAGGAAGCCTTCAAACGAACCAAAAAAAAAAAAACAAGCTTTTATATTTTTAAGTGACCCTGCAATCTGGCATCCTCCCTCTGTAAAGAAAAACATATGGGTAAGAACATAAAAAGATGCAAAAAACCACTAAACCTACTAATAAGTGTAATAAGAGTAACTGTAACAGAAGCAACAATAATACTAATAATAGTAACTGTGATAATAATAGAAGTAGCATTAACGACAGCAATAATAAGTTGAGATAACAATAAAGAGCTTTGCTATAGTAGGAAACCGAAGTTTGAGATGCACTGACAGTCTGGTGTTTATAGTCTGACTGATTGAGCTGTTCTTATGGGTTAGTTGGGTAGGCACACGGACAGGCACTGCATGCGATGGGGTGATGGTGTGCGTGTGTATGTGTTGATGGGTGGGGGATGTTCTGATGTAGAACAGAGGGGTGGTGGGGCGTCCGAAAGGGGGATCTGCAGTCCCATCAGGGCTCATTTCTGCCCGGTGATGGACTGGGATATGGAGCGTGGAGGAATCATGTCGAGCAGATACTCCCGCTGACGGTCCGCTAGGCTGGATGCCTTGTGGCCCCCAATGGCTCCCGGATTTAGATAAGCAATATTCAGACCTGCGATGGAGGACAAAGACAGAGAGGGGCCGGGAAAGTTCAAGGAAATAAGAAAAGAAAGACAAAAAGTTGAAAAAAGGTGTTTAACAAAATAAAGTTCATGACATAAACGGCAAGAACATGTTCTAAATTCTAATCAAATCCCAACAATCAAGCCAGAACATAAAAATAAAATACAACAAAATAAGGGAAAATTAATAAAAAAATAAATAAAAAAAAAAGTAAATTACATGAAATTGAATCAAATTTGGCTGAGAAATCACCCCCAAAAGATTATTTAAAGTAATTTTTGTGTTAGAAAAGGTTCAAATAGACATTAGTAGCTTTATTCATAAGAAAAGTAGCTTTAGAAAGAAATGTTCTTTTTTCTTTTTTAATTCTTGGGTGAATTATCCCTTTTATTAGTTAAAAGAGGTGGGGCGGGTGCGTTAATAATTTTAACACGTTGTTTTCCTAATTAACTAACTTAACACAATAAATTGACAGCCCTAATTAAAATAAATAATAAATCACAGATAAGTAAATTTTAAAACAAGGGGGAATCTTCAAAGAAAGGATGTTAGACCTTCACTAACTTCACTTAAATTAATATTTTATTAACTCATCCTTTTGTCATGACATACTAAAACTCTATTAAGCATTAGCTCCAGCCATTGTTCAAATGAAGAGAGTGTTGAATTTCACTGCTTTATAATAATTCTACATCCTGAAATCGGTGTCAGGTGGCACAGCCTAGTGTTCACCTGTTTTATCATAAATTTTCCTTTTGACTATTGCATATTACTTTCTCTGGTAATTTTATTCTAGTCAGTCTACTTGGGGTCCAATAACATGTTAAGAATTGCATAATCAAAGAGTCGAGACTGGACAGGTGTGGATGAATGTCAGTTTAAAAAAAAATGTGATTCCCTAATTAATCCTTAACCATACAACATTTCTTCACCGTGCTGCTTTAAAATCATGTAGTTAAGGTATACTGTGCATTCCTAATTAAACTGCATCATCTTACCAGGGATGTTGTAGATCTGTCTGCGGCTGTCATGCTGAGCCCGACTGCTGCTGCTGGAACTGCTGCTGCCACAGCGCTTGCTTGTCATATCCAGCAGCCCACTGGCCACTGAGAGCTGGGAGGCCTGGGCAAAGTTAGAGAGGACACCTCGTGCTGAGCTGGACAGACTCCGCTGTAGAGCAGCCTGTGGCTGGGGAGTCTAAAAGAGAAAATGAGAAAGAATCAGAATTAAATTTCATGACACCTCTTTGTACCATTAAACTATCATCAGTCATTAAAATCTGTGATTAGCTGAAGGGCCAGAATAAAACAGCCATTTCAAAATTCATAAAAATGGTCTCATGAGATTCCATTATTTGTACACAATGGGAGTGTGCACCTGTCGGAGGGCATGGTGTCGGATCATGGTCTCCCCTTTGCTCACGTTGGGCACAGTCTGGGCGGAGCTGGGGGACAGAGCAGCCTGCTGCTGCAACCTCTGCTCTATTTCCTGAATGGACAGAGACAGAAACAGAAACAGGAAGTCAACATACAGTTACAGAAACTACAAGCTAGCAATGTCAACACCAAGTCAATTCTACTACTACCACTTCTACTACTAATAATAGTGGGTCCGTATGAATAAATAATATTATTACATATTATTTGTATATAGTTTATTTGTTGTGATTAATTACTTAAACTTGAAGCAAATGTTAAATAATTCAGAAATAAATGTAGGTTGTATGTCACAGTTTTTTTTTTTAATTTGTTAATATTTATTTGTATTTTTAGCTTACCAGTGTTATTTTAATTATTTATATACTATAATTGTACTTATTAATATTTTGGATCAGCTTCTATTTAGTTTTAATTATAATTTCAGTTAAATTTTTTTATTAAATAAAAAAAAATGTTAAATACATTTTTTTATTTTAATTTTAGTACTTCAACATAAAGGTGAAGTTTGTCATTTTATGTTAAAATACACTCAATTTGGCAAAGGTTTTTTTAAAATATGCCCTATTTTAAGTTTTTTCTTTTAAACTATTTTTAATCATTTTAGTTTTAGCTAACAATAACAGCACTGTAGCATACTAGTTTGTGGTGTGTTACTGAAACTTGCGTATATAGAAAATCATCAAGCTTAATTTCATCATTCAAATTTTGGTATCCTGACAACTATCAGCAGTAAAATGAAAACTGACTGACCTGTTCTTGCTGCAGAGCCTTAACGAAAGCATTCTTGAGCCTATTGGTGTGCTCAGCCTTCAAGGCCTTCTTCTGATTGGACGTCATGCACTGCTCACAGAGGATGCGACCACTTTTCTCCTGCTTCCAGTGAGGGGTGAAGTCAGTCCTGCACTGGGCACAGAAGAACGGCTCCATGTGTGGCAGTGACCCCCGCATTTTACCTGAGCAATAGCAAAAGCAGAAAACAGGAGTTTAATGATTGAGCAGAATTAGCTGTGAATTAGATGAAATTGAATTGAAACTGCAATATGGCCTTATGTGATTATTAAACCGCATTCATTTTTAGGTCAAGTGTGAATGGTCTTAAACTGCTTCCACTTGTGTGTTTTACCTTTTTGATATTTTAGTTTTGATCTCAGCCAATCTTTGATCAGCAGACGTCAACGTCTATCATATTCTAATGCAAATCGCAATATAATTTTTTTGGCCATATTGTGCAGCCCTACTGTGCAAGTTGTTTTTTTGGTGTGCTTTGTTCCTCTTGCTCCTACCCTGACTATCAATGACGCTCTGCACGACCTCCTCCAACCCCACCATGTAGATGAACTCAGAGTTGGCAGCAGAAGGCAGGAAGTGCAGCAGGGGCGCTGGAGGTTTAGGTGGAGGTATCTCCAGCAGGGTCTTCTCCAGCTGCTTGCGGAGGGCCAGTTTAGCGGCTGCTTGGCTGCTGGCCTGGTCATTCAGAGAAGCGACACTGGAGGCACTGGAAAGGGTAGAGGGGCTGACAGCACCAACCCCACTCACTCCCACCCCGACGCCAGCCACACCAGCTGCTCCCGCTGCCTGCATGTGTGCCAGGTTCATGTAGATAGCTGAGGACGAGCCTGAACGCTGCGAGACCCCCACCTGCTGGCTGGCAGCCTGCATCACACAAAGCAAAAATGCAAATCATCAGCAACAGACATAATCCATTTTTATGAATGATTCATTTTGCGGCTGGGCGATATATTGAATATACGACATACTCAATATGATTTTGTTGGTGATATAGAACTAAACAACACTATGAACATTGCTGTGATTTAATGCACAATTTTTATTTGGCTATTAAGTTAAGGCCTGTTCCAGTTGGCTTGTTTTATGCACCATCCTAAGGAAGAGATATTTTAAGTGATTTAAATTATATTTTAACATGATTTAAACCCCAGAAGGAAAAAAAGGACCAACCTTTTTCAAACTGTGCATTTGAAAAAATGGGTTCAAATACTTGTTCAAAATGACTATATATATATATATATATATATATATGTG